GAGAGAGAGAGAGAGAGAGAGAGAGAGAGAGAGAGAGAGAGAGAGAGAGAGAGAGAGAGAGGTTACAAGTAGAGGTTACATCGGGCTTGAAGTCCAAGATCTGATTCGATATTTTTATGGCCGACATTGCATTCGGCAGGTACAGTAGTTTTGGACTTCGCTATCGCGATCTTGGTCTTCTCCCTCACCTCCATCTTCGTCTCGCCTCTCCCCCCATAGCTTCATTCATGTTATCTTCCCCATGTGCGGGTGCAATGAGGGACCTTTCTTCCATGTATGCGGTCCCTCCTCCCTCTCTCACATGTGTGGTGTATGATGGGATGTCGCGTTAGTATCTGATCGGTCATGTTATATCTTTGAATCTTTCGCTGCGCTACATTGTGCTATTTTCATGTGTATTTGGACGTACATTGCTTGTGATGTTTTGCTAATGCTGAATTGTCGATTCGAGTCATTTTCATCACTTTGCAGATCCTTGCCTCCATAAACATTGCTCAACTGAGCATGTATGAGTTGCTCAGGACTTCAACCTGACCTGACACGCAAAAGGGGGGGATCGATTGATTGATTGATTGATTGATTGATTGATTGAACGATAGGTTGATTGATTGAACGGTAGGTTAAATGATTGATTGATTGATTGATTGATTGATTAATTAATTAATTAGTTAATTATGATTGATTGATTGATTGATAAATTGATTTAAATTGATTGATTGATTGATTGAATAGGCTAACCTGATTATTCTCCATTTTGCGATTCATGATGTAACTGCCGATACCATTTTTTCGCAGGTCCCAGGCTGGCCGTTGACCGCCATATAATATGAGTGACGTTGGGGAGATGTGAATGACCTCTGGACGTAATTGCGGCCAGATTCATTCTAGTCCAGCTACAATTGCAGACAGATACATCCAGGAGAGCCCTAGTGTGAGTATGATGTCAGGCGGTTGCTGTAGTGTGTGATTGGGTTGGGTACAATCTTTTGTTTTTAACTTTTCGTTATATTTTCGGTTTTCCGTTTTGTTTTTGGTTTATGGGTACATCTTGCACCTGCTCTGTGTGTGTGTGTGTGTGTGTGTGTGTGTGTGTGTGTGTGTGTGTGTGTGTGTGTGTGT